GCCGACCCCGCGCTCTCCCGCTCAGCTCGCCGTCCCCAAACCGAGCGCGGCTGCCCCGAAGGACGGGAACAACCGGTGAGGAGCGGGGCCGGGGCACACCGGCAGTTCCGGGGGGAGGAGATCATCCCTACCGGGGGGGGTGGGAACTGGGGGGCGCGACCCCCCCCCGTTCCCCTCGCAGCGATCCAAATCCCTTTTCCCAGACCCCTCCCGACCCTCCCCAGCCTCAACCTGCTGCACTTCGACCGCGAGCGCCTGGAGCGGAAGGTGAGGAGGGGGCGTTTTGGGGGGGGGCCCAGGGGAGCCCCCCGGGGACCCCCCCTGACCCCCCGGTTTGTCGCCCCCTCCCCAGCTGGCGCCGTTCGGCCGCGCGGGGCGCCCGGTGCCCCCCGAGCTGCGGCAGCAGCACCAGGAGCTGCAGCGGCGCATCCAGGGGCTGGGGGCGCGGCTGCAGGGGGGCGACCCCCAGTTCCGCACGGGTGAGGGGGGCGTGAGCCCCAAAATCCGCTTTTTTTGGGTTTTTTTCTCCTTTTTCCCCGCTGTTTTATGGCGGTTTTTCCTCCCCCCTTGCAGAGTACGCCGAGCACCTGCAGCGGCACCTGCGGCTCTACACGGAAGCCGCGCGGCGCCTCGGCACGCAGGGAGAGAGGGTGGGTGAGACCCCAGCCCAGCCAAGCCCCCCGAGCCGGGGGAACCCCCCCAGGGCCCCCGGGACACCCCCAGATTCTGAGGGTTCCGCCCCAAAAATCGTGGAGCAGTCCCGCTCCCTCTCGGATCTTCCCAAGTCCTGGTGATTCCCCACCCCCCAAAATCCTGGACACTCCCAAATCCTGGTGGTCCCACCCCAAAAATCCCCAACACCCACCCCCAGACCCTCCTGGACACCCCCAAATCCTGGGGGTCCCACCCCAAAAATCCTGGACACTCCTAAATCTTGATGGTCCCATCCCAAAAAAAAAGTTTTGGACCACCCCCAGACCCTCCTGGACACTCCCAAATTCTTGTGGTCCCACCCCAAAAATCCTGGACTACCCTCAAAGATCCTGGACACTCCCAAATCCTCCCCAAAAATCCTGGACCACTCCCCCAGACCCTCCTCAACACCCCCAAATTCTGAGGGTCCCACCCCAAAAATCGTGGAGCACCACCCCCAGACCCTCCT